TATGAATTGTATTAAATATTAAATCAATAAAATATTATAATTTTAAGTCCTATCTCATGTTTTAGAATATTTAATATACTCTATATTTTGTATTTGAATAATAATGTATTTAATAATTAACAGGTATTAAATTTTACTAAAATTCAAAAATTCAAAATCATGTTGTTTAAAATAATTTTATAAAAATGTCTGCCAATAACTTAAAAGTCATTTAAGGTTCAAATCAGTATGCCAACATTATTTGATTTCAAGTGAACATTAACCATGGTAATTTATCGATCGAACCTATTATTTAATAAACCAATATTTGATATTTTAATCTATAATATCATATTGTAATTATGTTCAAATGTAATAGAAAATTCAACTTTTTTCGTTTTGTATTGATTTTGATTGATATATGGAGTTGAATTCATCCATAACTAATAAAATGAAATTAAAATAATAATAATAATTTAACACTTCAGAAAATTAAGCTTTATTCAGATGTTCAGAATTATTATTCAAATACAATAAACTGTCCTCGGATTGGTCATAATTTTTCAAATAACAGTAAGTACAACATTGTTTTGATTTAATAAAACCAAACAAATTCTCATCAATATATAGTAACTGTGTATTATATTTATTAGCCGTTGATAAGACATTTTGAGTTAAATACATCACATATTTTATGAAAACGATATTTCATATGTAAAATTACTAAGTTACAATATGGCATTAATATTGCTATAAAAATTACAATCCAGTACTATGAGGCAATTTTTTTTTTCTTTTCTTGACAGTAATATGTATGATAATTTATTATATTATTACTAACTAGTCAATAGTAGTACTAACTAAAAAATTAAAGTATGTTTAAAACATAACTAAAAATGTTTATAGTCTATTTTGGGTTTCGATCATTTCCAGTGTGAAGAAAACATTTTTTGACCAGAACTACTATAGAAAATCATTAATTTTCAAGTGTTCGACTCTTGAAAACCCGTTTGATTTCCCTGAAAAATAAACGGAACATTAAATTATGTACTTCACTTTGTAGAGAGTTATTTTCGTATACACATAAAAATTGATTAGGAAAATACTCAAGTCATATGGAATGTTTCAATTATATTTGGCTAGTGAAACATATTGAGGTTACGTGACCTTAGTTTAATTATTTTTTAGCACTCAATTTATTTTTTCTTTTATTTAAGAAGATTCAATTAGATATTGATTCAATATTAACAACACGTGAAGTTAGACAAAACATAGAATTCATTAGTGACATTATTTTTAAATTGACAAGTATTTAAATATATTTTATAATGTAAGAAAGAAATGTTACTGAAATTTTATTATTATTATTTGTTTTTATTTTTGAATTTCATCTATAACTCAATAATATCAATACTAATCAATTGTAGAAATGTTAATGCAAATTGCTTATTTATGTAAATAGGACCCAGTCTCGTGAACTATGGAAATAAATTAATAATACCTTTTGACCATAATTTCGCTACTCATATAAAATACTATACGATTTCATCAAAAAAAACATCAATATGAGTGGTTCTTAGAATAATCTGAATTATTCTAGTTGATTTGAATAATATAACTTGAACAAAGTTGTTTAGTATAAATTCCAAGGTTGGATTTTAGACCCTCTAGGCATTGTATTCTCTAGAGTGAAAAACACATTTTTATTGAAAACTAGCATTTTGAGTACCAATATTACTTACATTGGCAGATATTTCATCTATTAGCAGTATTTCATAAAGATCTAAGTAATATTTAGGTAATCAATATATATTTATATTATAAACGCATGTATGGATAAGGAGTCTTTTCAAACTTAAAAATTTAGTTTTATTCAATTTCTATAAATTCCTTGAATTTTCAATATATCTGATATATTAATTTTAAATTCTAATTAAATTACGTTCCATATTGACTATAATTTTAAGCGACTAGTATCATTAATTTTAAATGTATATATAATCAATTCTTAATAATTAAATAACTCAATTTAGTAAGAATCAAAAACATTAAACAATAATAATCATTATAACTTAATAAATATGTGTAGCGCCTTTGTAATTATTTCCTATTTTTATTGTTTTTTTTATTTCAATTTTTATATTATTACTGCTTATCAGTATCAATTATTAACATTAATGAAAACCATTGACTATTAATATTAGTTGTATTTTCCAAAAATATATTTAAAACAATTGCAGTAGTGTAGATTAAAATTAAAAAATAATTCAATATTGTCATACTCACTTAATTATAACCCTAAACCTTAGTCTAACTCCTACGATCCATCCAGAATTCTTATTAATTCTAAGGTTAGGCTAGCCTGTTGGGTTCGTTGTTATTAAACAGCATATTTATACACTACTCTGCGGTCGACGGCCGTCGCGCTGTGTGGAATTAGTAATAGCTAAAAAAACTTAAAAATCTAGTGTAACTAATTTTTGTACACATCTATACATTTTCAACATATTTGAATACAAAAAAAAACCGTTTTATCAGTAAACATTTTTTTTTATATATATACTTAAAGAAGGTATAATTGTCTCATGCCCACTTTTGGTGCATTACCAAAACAATTATACTATTCATCATAAGTATGACAATATGTTTACGGCGATACATTTAAACTTTCTTTTATTTTATGTAATCTCATTAAAATTCAGATTATTTTGGATTAGATTTAGTTATTACATAAACATATGTAATCAAACTTAAAGGGGAAAATGTAAAAAATAAACACTAGTTTGTTGTAAACAAATATTAAATATATGCTCATAGTACGGCCTAATAAAATAGTCTATTCTGTAGACTGTACATTTCCATAAATAATTGAATAAATATATCAAACATGTTTGCATATGGCTGTGTTATTTAAACAAATTTGAAATTCTAAAAATTAAATTATCAAACTGTATCACAAATTTACAATTATGCATCAATGTATTATATTTATAAAACGCACTAATGCTGTTTTAAAATTATCATTATAAAGAATTAATTTTGGATTCTTGATAATTCAGTATGAAATTTACAATGTAAATTAATGATAAGAAATAGCATAACATTGTTAATTATATATATTGTGTAAACACAGATTTTTATCGTGAATTTGCTGTTTAAATTTTTGACAGTCTGCATTTAAAATAATTTCTTTACTTTACATTCTAACTATAGAGTAAAGTTTTATTATTATTATTATTTTATATCTTGTTATAACTATTTTTATAATCCTCTGATGAAAAATTCCTATATAGTGGGTTAATAAAATAGCCATGGTCTTTTATCAGTTGTAATTGAAATAAACTCTTCACATAATTCATAGCATTGTTTTGATTATTTTTTGCCTTATTAATATGCATACCCATTAAGTTGCGTACTTAATTGTGAATCAACTGTATATAATTTTTAAAATTTGTAATCCTATCGTAGTGCTTAAAATGTTAGTAGAAGTATGTTTTGAAAATTAATAGTAAAAAATAAAATATTTAATTAATTAATTTTCTATCTTAAAAAAATGTTCTTTAAACATTATGATTTTGTAAAATATAATATTGGTATTCGGATTTACATCAATAATTGATAAAAATATATCGGTATAATCTTTATATTTTAATTTAATTTTTATTATTGAAAAATGGCAATATTTTTCCAACGGATATAATTTTAAGTAAAGCGTACACATAAAAAAAAACTAATTTCCATTAGAAAACAATAATAGTAAACGAGAAGTGAGAATAAAATAAACTAGAATAACACGAGTATATATGACAACTATTGAAGGTTAACACATCGACAAACAAAACGCGTCATCGGTGCTCCACAGCCGGAGTGCTCGAAATCAGTACATGACCGTACAAAAATAATAATAAAACACATTATACGACGAAACACCGAACGTATATTCATGTATGATCTGTACACTGTGCCAGTCATTGTGATACACACGACCAACGGATCTATTAAAAGTAATACAGTTCTAGAAACCTAGATATTATTGTTACGAACATATGAAATAATAGTAATAATAAAATACCGTAGGTACATGTATGTACATAATGTATTACAAACGAAATATAATGATTTGATCAATTTATCAATCAAGGTTTATCGAACATAGAAAAATAAAACTGTGCATAACATACTTGTATACACACATATATATTATACTGTCGGATCTGTAAACTAAAAATATTACTTTTTGCGACCAAAGTGAAAAATGTCATTCGATATTAACTGATATTGTTTGCAAATTGACATCCCAATACCTATATTTATTATAATGTAATTTCCATTGTATAACATTATGGAAAAAAAAACTTGATGACACAAATACCATATAAAATTTTCAGTTGAATCGCTAGAATTTCAAGTATGACCACAATTTTGAATTTAAAATTAAAATTATATTTGACCGGTATAATAAATACATTCATAATAACTCAATACATTTTTGAAGATGTATAGTAATTTTTAGTTATAAGAAATATATATAAAAGAAAATAAAAAACATACGATCAAGAACATTCACAATATCTATTTTATTCGTTTATGCAATAGCAATGTTATATTACATTGTTGTAATGCATGATTGATGATGACCGGGGTTAAGAAGATTGTTTATTTCTAGGAACCCGTTATGTTGGTCCATGCTAATTATTGCACGTATTAATTCAATAGTATATGTATACATGTAATATTTATGGTGACGTCATTTTTAGTTTTCATCATATCGACAAAAAAAAGTACCATAATTAATAATCGTGTCCAAGTAAAATCAACTGAAGACATTTAGAAATGCCATCACGTGATGACTGCACGTTTAACATGTTTGCTGTTTTTTTTTTACGTTCGATCTCCGAGTACTTGCATAACGTGTAATAACTATCTTACCATTATTACATATAGTATATGTGTTTTAAATTTGTATTCGATTGCTACCCATCTTTTTTCTTTATTAGATATTAATATAATCTTATTTTCAGGTTTCATTCGAAAGCCGATCGATTGAAGCTCGTTAAAAATTTAAGGTAAAACTTATTTTTGATGCATTTATTAATTATTACTGATATTTTCTGATATTATTTAACTAATTAATTTTTTATATTTTTAAATATTCTTGTTGTTAATTAAAGGTCTACGCAACCGAGTTCCTTTAACGATTTGAAATCAAAATAATATTTGAAAAATATGAAATTATATATTGACGGTGCATCATGATTGTAAATTTCATTAAAAAAATAAGTGTAAAATGCTCGTTTTTCCATATTTTGTGTAATTCAGTCACTTCTTTGCGAAACTATTAAACTATACAATATTCATTTATGTATATGTGTGTGTGTGTGTGTGTGTGTGTGTATCATATTCCTTTAAATAAAAAAGAGCCAAGCTATTCTGTTGAGTAGCAGGTCCTGAGACCTTTTTTTTACATGCTTAGAGCATAAATGATCCAATTGCTGCGGTCACGCTCGACGAGCCCCGAAGAATCGTTGCGGAAGTATATGACGGTTTCGCCCGTGTAGCCGTGTGACACGCCCCTTAAACGGTTAGCGTGCAGGCCAGCGCCCTGCTTATACGATTTTTTTTTTTTTTTATGTAACGGTAGTGGCATAATAAAATAGATTAAAAGAACGTGACCAGCATGTGCAGTAAGACAAAAAAAAATCAAAATTATAATAATAATAGTTATATAGCGCCTAAACTACGTATACCGCTAGTTCAGTAGATCAATATACAACTAATGTCAAATCTTTACGGATATTGTGATGTAATAATAATTCTATATACGTTAAAATTGAAAACGTCAACGCTGATTTTACCGGATTAAATTAACTATAGATTTTGGTGGCTAATGTAAAAAACAAATATACAGTTCAACCTTGGTAAACCGTCCATTTCTACTGCCGGATTAATATAAATATTAAAATTATTTCAAATAATTTAACGTGAACATTACATCATCGCCATTTTTTTTGATGATTTTTAAATTATACATCTATCTTATACGTATACGGCCAACTTTGTTAGACATTTGATAACTAAAAATTAAGAAGATCTAAGAGGTTCGACTTTTAAAAACTTTTAAATGCATAATATTTAATTATTAGTCAAATTACAATAATGTATAGACATTTTTATTTTTATTTAATTACATTCAAATTAATAATTTCTTGTTTAAAATTGCTTAACTTCATCCTTCTTTTTATTTATATTATTATAATCATATAAATGTAAACATTATGAGTTTTATTGGTGTGATGATTTATTTGCAATAAAAAAAAACAGCCAATCAAAGCCTTGTTTCTATTTAACAGCTCATTTATGTTGGTTATTTACGATAAATTATCTCTATAGTCATATTTATATCTGCATTCGTTCACACTTTATTAATTACAACTCAAATACTTTACATTTTAAATATGTTAATTTCAACGGTGTGTTGCGTATATTTATTTAATTTAATGTAGCTATTTACTTCGCTATTTCTGCAACTTTGGTATAATTAATAACTATAATAAATTTATCGATACATATTATTATTATTATCATTATCTTAGGCGTATTATCAACATACCTAAGTTTAAAATATTGTTACAAAAAATGTAAATTATTTTGTTATAAGCCATTTATACTATATGCTTATATACTCCATTTCTGATCATGACAATATCGTGACCTTCCAGAGTTCACGGTTGCTATCGATACTCTTTTCAATTATAGGACCTAATACAATGAATCATGATGAATTCCCGATTACTAATATTCTGTGAAAGTATTGAAAAAAACGAAATTTCCATAGTCCAATGAGTCAAAAAATAAAATTCCTATAGTGAAATTGTAACGAATCAGCCAGACTTTAAAACATTAATTACTAAAAATCATATTGTAACGAATGTATCTACAATGTATGGCCTTCCCATCCTTCGCATTTAATTAAAAAAACATCCAATAAATAATAATTATTTATAATTATTATAACCATTAATTTTTTTTTCGTTATTTATAATACTTTTATTGTTGAAAACTGTTGTATTGTCATTTGATTGTAAATTATTCTCATATCTTCATTCATTATAAATATTTTGTATTTATAGAAATGTTAACAGTTCAGACGTTTAGTAAATAATACAATTATCATTATAAGATTTTACGTTCATTATGTGTATCGAAATTCGTCCATCTGTTGCCCAATTTAGTAGTTTCATAAGCTTATGCTGAAACTGTACCGACATATATCATGGTATAGAAACATCTTTCATGGATAATCAAATGCGTTTCTTTCGTGCGTGTTCAACTAACCGTTTTCTGGGTCGGAAATCGTATACGTATAATACTTTTTTCTTTAATCACATCACTAACGACTTAGCTCCCTTTGTCAATCAATTAGTACTTGCGCCAAACAATCTCTCGCGTGCTGTGCATGTTTTATTTCTATTTATTTATATAATTTTTTTGCTATTTGGCCAATCAGAGCATGTACGCTGTGTAGTACATATTTGTGAACGCATCATAGTCACAAGGCAAATAACGTGCGAATTGCATGTTAAAGACGATAAAGTTATACTTCCTAGTGAAATTCGATAAAAATTTAGCTGTCGTTGGTACTGGTACGTATAGGCGTGTTAATGCCGGTAGTCATATGATAAGGACTCAACATTTTTAAATGAAAAAAAATATATATTTATAGGCATATAGTAAACAATAAAACTGGTTCGTACAATGAGGAGAGAAAGTAGACCCGGAGTTCTCCGTAATAATGAGAGTATACATCATATGAAAAGAGAAGAGAATAGAGTACGAGATTGAGTATTCGCATAGGGAATAAAAAGAAAAGTAATGCGAGTTAAATCACAACAAGTAATTAAAGAAACTGAAGACAGGAAAAAAATGTTGACATTTTTTGGAACAACATCTATATTTATACACTAATATTGACCTTCGTCGAAAAAAATTCGCAAACTCCTATAAAATTGAATTCTACTGAAATTGCAGTTAAAAATACATAAATAAGTTAATGCTTGACAACCATTGAGAAATAAACAAGAAATACTGAAATTTACTATCAAAACTCTAATTTAATAAAATTTCTCATCTCTCATCGTCATTCTAAGTATATATTTATGTGTAGTAAAACGTTATTGTTAATATTTGTATTGTTTGTACTCAGTTGTTCTAATGAAAATAAAAATAACTAATACCAATCATCGGAACCTTTATGAAAATAAAATATTAAATAATATGAAATTTTACTCAAAAATTTTAAAAACATATTATTTTGAATTGAACTTAAAATCGTACCCGGGTCACCAAATCCCTAACACGCTCGTTTTCGACGAGTTTCAATTTAAATCATAATCTACCGATTTGTTTTAATTTTAAATTTAAATTTTTATTTTTATCATATTAATGGTAAGGATTTATTTTAAATGCCTAGTCCATGAACCAAATCTCATCACGCTCTTTCGTTTGCAGAATAAAAGTTGCCATTCTAAAACGTGAATATGATTTAAATTATAATATTGTATCGTACACATATGTCTGAAATTATACTTTAATAACATGGTTCGCTCTATTCATTCATATACCATATGATTATTTATGTTTAGGATGCTTTCGCATAAATCGGTTTCCATTGATGGACGGGACATTGCGAAATCACCTAGTCCACGCTATGTTAATTAAAGGGAAAGTGCCACATATAAAGATATTAAATTATAATAATTACCAAAACTGTCATGCATACTATTTTTGATTTCGTATAGACTTAAAGTGTTATGTTTGTCATAAAATTGTTTTTATGCTTATTTTTAATCGAATAATTTCGTCATGGTTTGTAATCTTAGCGATGAATAGTGTTTTTTCTATTTTTTTACTGTATTAAAATGTTTAACGGCCATAATCATTAATTATTTGACAACTATATTCTTATCTCAAATTAATTTATTGATTAAACTATACCTAGAGAAACTTATAGTTCACTGAGTTGTATGTTTCTAATAAAAATTTAAGGTATCTAACGTGACAATGAAGTGACGTCACGTAGCACCTAAGTCAATATAAATTATGTTCCCAGGTTGTATATTTCTTTACAAATATAAGAAATAAATTCCTTAGAATGTATTTGAAACATAAAATTGCATATACTTTATATGGTTATATGAGCCGTAGAAAATAAAAAAAAGTATTTCCAATATTGTATTCTGTTTTTACCAAACCTTACAACCTAACAACCTTATACAATATATCTATGGTTTTAAGATATAATTTTTGTCCATTAACTACTATTTGTTTTCTCAAAATGAATCGGTATTGACGCACATTATAATAAATGTGTGATAACATTTGGAAATGAAAATTCCAATCTTACTGTTCAGAATATATTATCTTTAAACGTTAGTACTCATTCGTGTATGTACACATATTTATTGTATTTCTATTTGTATATATTGAATGCAACATTCTGTTTAGGCCGTGGTCAATTGGATGCGGCCCCTTAACCGCATTCAGCCGGTCTGGGAACGAATTCTCAACGTAAATCCTTACGGACGAGCCTCGACGGTGCAGTTGGGGCGCGGCCTGGCAAACGAGTTCGAGAAACGGGTCACTGGGTCCTCGAGGATAGATAGTCACGGGAGATAAAACGTGTTATGGTGCGCCTAACTTGTATCTACTGGTGTTTTATTTTAAATGTGTAAAAAAAAAAAATTATACTCTTCACAAAACGTTTAATAACGAAGCACGCACTCTGCTTAAATACGCTTGTACATGATTTTGATGCTTGACCATCATGTGAGTCCATCAAATAAGTTTAACGAGTAGAGTTGAAAAAACTCGAGACGTGTGTATTTTTAATTCGAAAAAATAATTAACTACTAGTGTAACAATGACTTACATAGTTTCCGCGATTATATCCCGTAATTTTAATAGAATGGTTGGGATCAAAAACGTCAAAATCTTATGTAAAATGTTAGATAAGATAAATGAGAAAATTATATAAATAATTTTTTTAAATATATTGTTTCTTAATTACTACATCTATTAAACTTATTTACGTATTAATTCGATAGATATATTATCATATTTTATATTGATTTCAGTAATATATGTATAAGTAATGATGTTTCGCTAAATTCATAAATTTCCGATTTTTTATGAAATCGATGAGGCTTTAATAATATATATATTATTACAGTTAAATAATTAATTAAATAAAACAAATCGTTCAAATATTACAAATATTTAAAAATTATTATGCAAATACTAATTGTAATAATAAAAAAAAATTAAGCCGAACATCTATATCCATTATCTTATGGTTAGTACCTGTAAAATTGTACATGCAATGTAAATATTTTGTGAAATTTCATAAAAATAAAATAACCTACACCAATTTAGAATTTCATTGAATTACTTGTTTACCAGATTATTGTTTGACAGATATATGTAAAGGATTTAAAGATCATTTATTTATTTCTAATCACGTCTACAATAGTTTGATTGCATCCAAATTGGGTCCCGAATTTAAAATTACTACACTAATTGGGTTCAGAATTATTTTAGGTACTACACTAGTTGGGTTCCGGATTTGTATAGGTACTACACTAATGGGGTCCTGAATTATTTTAGGTATACACTAGTTTCTGAATATTATTTGGTAAGTACTATATTATATTAATATTTTCCTACCCATTTTAATAGACTTAGGACTGTCTATGATCTATTTAGACCACAGGTATGGTTAAAAATGTTTTTATAGTTTTTTTTTGTTTTATTTTTTAGTTTCTTTTCCATTAATTTTTATTTATATTATAAAAAGGTTTTAACATTTTTATTATTTTTTCATTTACCTAAATAGCTATAATTATATTATATAATATGTAGTTTTATCCTTAATTTTTAATATTTTTACCTACACAATTCTAATAATTTATATTTTAATGGAAAAGAAACTAAAAAACAAAAAAAAAAAAACTATAAAAACATATTTAACCATACCTGTGATCTAAATAGATCATAGACAATCCTAAGTCTGTTAAAATGGGAAAGAAAATGTTAGTATAATGTAGTAATTACCAAAAAATATTCAGGAACTAGTGTAATACCTAAAATAGTTCAGGACCCAATTAATGTAATGCCTATAAAATCCGGGACCCTACTAATGTAGTACCTATAAAAATCCGGTACCCAACTAGTACACTACCTGCAATTAGCCCCTAGTACTCGGGACCCAACTCAGATGAATAATTTAAGAGTATATTGTTCGAACGTTCATACAATTTTCAAAAATTATTAATTATTAATCAAATAATATAAATCATTAAACTGCACTACTATTTGTCGCGTATTGTACATTGATATACAGTTACACTATATATATATATATATCGGAGAGGTAATGACTGCAATATGTATAAATATAACGGCGCTACGTCATCTAATATGTTGCTTATTTCATAAAATTAACAATTATATTTTAACTTACTCATTAAATTGGCATTGAAATGTTATTTAATCCATACATTTGTGGCAGCCAAATTGTCGAATTTGTGTATTTGATTACAGAATCATTGATTTCATGAAATCGATAATTTCACGAATCTGGCATTACATAAATATAAAATATTAATATTAATATACGAGTTCATGGATATAAATTGAAAAATATTTTCATTGATGTGGAATAATTATTTGATTAATGTCGTAATATAAAAATAAGCAAAATATCTCTGAAAATCACGAATTTAACATGCGTGAGGCTGTTTGTATTTGCTTCAAAATGTCCTTGCATATCACGCTGCAGTGTACATTATACATTATTACCTTACGTGACTGTTTTATTCTAATGCACATACATTATTAACAGTAAACAACTACGTATGTTTACTCGTATATTTAGTACCTATACAATTTCGGAGGACGTATACTCATCAATATTAACATTTCAACAATTATTATACTATATAATGAGGAATTCAATTATGTCAGCACATTTTAATCACTAACTAATTACTATACCAGTCATTGTTTCGTATAAAAAACCAAAACAGACACGCACAAGCACAAGTTCAACTAAACGGAGGCCATTCAAGGGGATAAATTTAATAAATTCATTATTATAGAGCAATATACTGTTTGGCATAAAACTTTGTTATAAATAAAGGCTGTTGAATATTTTTAAAAAGAATCGATTTTTTTACTGAACGTATTCCGTATCCGCCGACCGGTGTAGGTCTTATGCAAACTTACTACAATTTTCAAAATATTCATACGACATTACGTTTAATTTTAAATTAATGATATCCCCTAAGCTAGTTTATACAGAACATAGTGATACGCGTCCAGGGAAACTTGAATAAATCTTCATTACGGTATTGAAATCGTGACTGGTACGTGTGTCCATGAAGGGGTTCCCTAGGGAGACTTTATTAAAATATCCAACATCCAATATAAGCAATACTAAAGTAACATACAAAACAACAACTAAAATTACCGTGGACACTATAATGGTTCAGATCCAGTATTATTTATACCAGTATATGGTATATACTCGCAATTGCGTATCATGAAATGTTACACTCAAACAATTCAATGTTAATTAAATAGAGAAATCGAACACCACATTATTTTTTATATACGATCGCATATATACTATAACATGATAGAACCATATTAACACATAATATATTGAATATAATTCTACATTTAAATGTAATTATTAATTTTCAACTACCTTACTAGGATATTATAGAATATAATATCGACAATTAAAAGTTCGTTTTGTTTGCATAGAACGATAAAAATATAATATATACCTATTGAAAATGTAATTATAAATAAAATTTATGTATGACGGACAAAATATATAGCTTTATTATTTATTTAGTATAGCTTTATTATTAAATTTATTATAAAATAGTAAGCTTATTATAACATGTAGAAAAAATTATAGCTCACTTTAACGTATAGTAGTCAAAGTGCCAACATAACTGAAAATATAAAACAGTAAATGTTTTAATTTTTAATGTAGAATAGCTTACCTAAGTATTAACTAGATAAAACCATGATGTAATAAACTAGGTATGATACACAGTTAGGATACGCATACATTCCCGGTCGCCTTAAATAGTGCAATATGACGTTGGACTTTCGCCGGTTTTCATTGGTTGTATATTATATTATTGTGATACTCTAATTACTCGTCAAACTATTGTTAAACATGATTCCATGAACCTATAAGTAATTAACTATTTTATATTGTAAATTGTAGAAAATTTACTTATTGAAAATAACAATATTTATTTAATAACATTATTAACACAGATTAGATTAAAAGCATAAAAAATTAGGATCAACACTAATTTAATAAGTAAATATATTTGCTAAAAAAATGTTGATAAAAACGAGATATTCGGTTACCGCTAAAAGAGTTTGAAGTCATGATAATAAGTAAACCAATGAGAAGTTGTGAAAAATTAGCTCTATATTTGCACAACATAAGACTAACATACGACTGTTGACATATTACCTAGCTTATTATATCACGAATAAAGCTATATTTGTAACATGTAATACAAAACCTATAGTTTTTTTTTTTTTAAATAATCAAATAAATATATAAGGTAGCATTTTGTATTTTTTTAAATCAATTAAAATTAGAGTTAAGTATCTATTTGTCTGCAGTATACTATTTTCCAATACCGAACAACTTCATTTTTCAGAATAATATGCGTAGGATCTAAAAAAAACAAAAAAATTAAAATGCTTTTCATTTTAAAAGTTGAATGTACGCTTATAATAAGGTATTTAATAAACAATAGCTTTTAAATAAATCCTTTAAGACGTATCTAAATTAAAAAAAAAATACTATGTACAGTTTTTTAAAAAAAATAACGAACTATGACTAACTGACAAATATTTAAAAAATGTATTTACTATAATTTTTTATGCCTAATTTTGTATCGTCAAAAAGAAATATAATATATATTCATTGAAATTTTAAATGCTTGATGGTTAGCGTGATAAATTTAAAACTTTTTGTTTTGTAATTAAAGTGCAAAAACTTAACAAAACATCTAAAATATTTGTAGATAATTTATCAACTTGTGTGTACGTTCAAAAAAAAAAAAAAAAAAGATCACTGTACAAAAATACCTGTTTAAGAAATAATGAAAAATTAAAAAAATCTATAAAAAATTATTAGCAGAGATGTGTGTATGCTACCATAAGTACATTGACATCTATCTTCAGGTATTATTATGCAAAACAAACTAATCTATTTCGGAGGTAACTGCAATAGTTTACCATCATTGTTATAAAGTTCATTTTGAGATTTTATTGTATTATATTGTTTATCAGTTTAATATAATATTTATTGTCAAGTATAAATATACTTTAAATGTAACAAGAAAGTAATAAGTAAAAGTGATATTAGATTAAATAATTGTAAAGGATTGCGTCGTAGAACGTTGTGAATATGGATGTCAAAAAGTATTTAAGCGATGAAAATATTATTAGGTATATTAATATAATTATAAAAATACTAAATTATACATATATTATTTCGATTGGTATGTAAAAATAATTTCTGAGCGATTAAACTTTGTCGACCAATATTGTATAGTACCAGAACGCTTACAACGTGAAAATGCAAGGAGAACCAATACAATTTCTCATAAAGTTAATGTTATTTTGACGGTATTATCTTGAAGAAAATGTGTCTCTCTTTTAGTTCTTTTGTGGATGTACGTACGATCTTCATTGTACGGCTCAAGGGCTATTACAATTCGCAGGTAAAATGCCATGTATTTATAAATGTACATCGCGGTAGTAGGTATAAAATAAGTGTGTCATCGGTATTTCTATAGAACTATCCGCCTATGGCGTATCAATAGATAAAATTGTTCTCATAAATCGCAAACTGTCATGCACCCATGCCCAAGTACGAGAGTTATTAATGTTTACGATAATGAATAAAAATACGTTTTTCAACTTAAACAAAATCATTGTAAAAACTTAGAGAACAAAAAGAACAGAAAAATCAAAATTAGCGAATTCAACGACCCTTGTGTAAGTTTGGTGAACTCGTGGCAAATATAATAAAACATATGTATCTACTTAAATGTGTTGGTAGCAACGGTGACTGTACAGCGTTCATCCGAAGGTCAAGAAGTACCGGTAGCGTTTCGTGAACTCTTATCCTCATACTGTTTGCGTGGTAGGTCAAAATCCGGATGAAACCGTAACCGGAACCATACTTACACACAATCTGAGCATATTAAACTTCCATGCAACTCATATATTATAGACATTTTAGTTCGTTGATCCCAAAAATAATCAATTTATTTAGAGGTGATTGAGAAGTAAAAAAAAAAAAAAATACCGGTTTACTGAAATCTGATCCGACTTATAGAATCAAAATTATAGCTTAAATTTGCTGTCCTCTATAGAACATGATCAACTATCCAAATTTTCTAAGATTATTGGAAGAATTTATATTGGTATATACGAGTAGGTATTAACAAAATTAGGTTAACTTGTTACTTATGTACAAGAATTATTTCTTTCTTATTTACAATATTATAGTATGTGCAGATCAGTTGTAAGAATATGTAAAATATATGCAGAAATCTGTTAGTGCGTTCCCGTTTAACTTTTTTTTACGTATATATTTACCTTGTATATTTTTGAAGTTAAAATAACTCTTTGGACCAAGACTTTTAACTGTTTATATTAATTTTATTTTTCTGTACTACTTATGGCGTAATGTATTTTCGATTAATTAACAAACCGTTTAGTTTACTTGAGTTAAGTAATTCGTCTGTACACTGCAAATCGTATTAACGATTCAAGTTATTGCTATAGTATAACTTAGAAGTTCGGTATTGTGTTAATATCAAGTTCATAACTCATAACTATTTTCGAGTTAATTATTTGAATTATGCTTTACTCGTTTATGCATTCTCGTATTCAATGACGCAGCAAGTAATTCATTTTATTTTTAATTCTGAATTCGTATAATTTCCCTGTCTAAATGTGATTAGAAATTTAACGACGAAAGTCGTTATTAAAGAATTATGAAGGAAATAGAAATCTTTATTTTATTTTGAAATAGCTTTGTAATTGCTAGACAAGACTAAAGGAAAAATAACTATATAATTTTCAAATAGTCTGGACACATTCTTAAAGATTTACGTAAAACGGTAAATAACTACATCATTTTTTGGTTAACGGGCTTTAGAAAGGTTTACGCATAATATCAAAATGGAGCGAAAAAAATACAGTTGAAAATATTTCGAAGGAAAAAAAGGCACTCTAGTCATACTTGTTAGCGTCTACAATTTCTTCGTGTTGCTAATGTACCTAAAAAAAAAAAAAAAAATAAAAAATAAAAAAAAAAAAAAACGTTGACGACAATTCCGAAAAAATACACACATGTGTACTCCCCGTAATTATACCTTGTGTACATTCTTCGACTTATACAGTTTAATCATAATGAAGTTCTTCAAGCGACAAACCAATAACAACTGTGAAATCCAGTATAGCTGTCAATATTTCTATAACAAAATGTCCATAGTTTTTACCATACATTGTGTTGTATAATAATATACTATAATTAAATAAAATTATACGAGATGTACGTGTACACTGTTCATAGACCAATAAAATTGTGCACGGTACGTTTAATCCTGTGTGTTGTGTTTATTTTGTTTAAAATACCCGTTCATAGTTGTTGTTCTATACAAATTTTAACCAGTGCTTATGGAAAATAATTTGTCATAAGATTAGATAGCCAATGAAAAACTTGTATACTGTGAATTATTTTAAATACTAATTGTCCTAATTAATTAATTAATTAATTATAGACAGCTAAATCACCATTTATTTTCGTTATCTACACGATTAAAATGTTTATTTAAAATAATATTATTATATATTGTTATATATACATTGTGTATGTACAATATTTTTATTGTATATGCAATTTTTTTTAAAAAAAAATTATACAACTTAAAACATATTATTATAAATTTTAATTTTTCGCAACAAATGCAATTTATAAGGATACTGGTTATTATAAACAAAGCTGTAATTATTAAATAATGTCTACGTCTCTTTGTAAGTGAATGTGATTGTTCAAAGTATTCCATATAAGAAAGAATCGTTTGTTTTTTAGAAACTTTTAGACTGAGATGTGTATCATATAGGTATCTCCTCAACATACGTGAAACTTAATTCAACAATAATAATAATAATACTCATGTGTGTTTGGTATATTTTGTTTTTCCAGACAAACGATGTCCTTGCAGATGCCGGTGACGGAAGACACGCCTCCCGACATGTTGTCTGGGGCAATGGATCTAAATGTGATTCTACCTAACGGTTCCGTGATCAAGATGAGTGTCGAGAGAAGGTCAGTATCTATTGAAATTTTACGGTGTGTAGTACTGTTATATTGCTGGTACACGATCAGTATTGTTTTCAAATGAATGACCAAGATTTTCTCACTTTTTTTATCGAACGTTCATTTAAATTTACTATGAGTATGCAAAATTAAATAAATATTTTCAATGCAAACAGTATTATCAATTATCATATAATTGGATTGAGTTATAGTAATTTTGCAGACGTTTAGATTTAGTAGGTATTCAAGCTGTTAAATGAAGAATGTTTCGTTACTTTGTACTGATTAATTAAACATTTTACTCTAGGATTTTCGTGGATAAACTGTAATCTCATCTCAAATTAAATTGCATAAAATCAATAAAAAACAATACAAACGCTTTATTAACTAATTATTTTAGTTTTGTAAAACGTAAACCATTTTCAATAAAATATTCTCAAGCTATCTACTAAAAAAATGAACTTCATGGGATATTTTCTTATTATATTATTGAGTAATTTATTCTTAATCTTATTTAATAAAATCACAATATCGATTTATATTTAATGTATTGTAAACATAGTCTAGCATGGTTTTTAATATAAATACATTATTGATAACAACACATTCTTACACCTCTTAAAAAACATTATATTAATTCAAGATAATCAAAACAAATAAATCATCAAAAATTACTAATAAGAATAAATAAATACACCCAACGCCGGATTAAGGGGGTTCTAGCCGGGGCAGTAGCCCCGGGGCCCTCTCGAGTACCCAAGTGAAAGGAGCTCAAACAATTTTAAGCCAATACACATTTTTTTATCATACTAAAATTAGTAGTTTTACAGACATAAATTGTACATAACTATTAATATTATAATTTTATAATGCAAATGACAATTTGTGAAATAGTTAAAAAAAATGTATCGTTCTGTGAGCGTAGTGAGCATCTTTGTAAAGCATGTTTTGTCAAAAGGGCCCATATAAAACTTCAGCCCCGGGGCTCAATAATCCAGCCTTGAACACACCCATCTGTTATGGCTAATTGTTAACATCATGAGTTATGAAAATAAAGTTGATTCTTTTCACGTATATAGTATATATTTTATTTTTTTAAAAATTATTATACGGAATAACAAATTAAAATACATTTTTTTAGTTCATATATTAATATTCTTGTAGATTTTTTACATATAAAAAGTTGAAGAATACTTTTTCAGTGGACATTCAAATAATCGACCATATTCTTATGTATTTTTTACTAAAATGTTTCATTATAATTTTGTCATAAATAAAATTAAAAGGTTTTTAAAAATGCCCTAATTATATTAAATATATCTTCGAGTCATATGTAATCCAATTTAACCATTAGTATACTTTTCACTTTTTGTAATTGTACAATTGGGTATTATTTTTTTTTTTTTTTGTGGTATGGAATGTTATTATAATGATATACATTACCCAAATATTTTAAAATCCATCCATTACCTATTTAATAAAAAAAGTAGTACGAACAAATATTTATAATTTCTCAAATTAAATTAGTTTATATTATAATAAAAATACATATACTGTACAAATGCAGTATGCAAGTACACAAAATATAAAAATAATGAAAACCATAAATGATTTTTATTTGTAGGTACATATCTATACATTTTTAGCTTAGAAATAAAATCATTAAATCAATAATTGTATACTAATAGCTTTCTATTTTAACTTGTTATTTTAGTAAAAATTGATAGTTATAAATTATGAGAAATAATTTTTTTCTATAATTTAAAATGTAGTCATTTTATAAAAACTTGGGACATTTTGTAATAACATTTTTTTAGAACTTGTTTCTTAAATATTTATATCCATAGATTTGTATTTTGCAAGAACAAAAATTTAAATGTGTATACTATCTAATATATACTAAAAATACAACATAATTATCTGAAATTAAATGTTCTAATGATTTGTTGAATTAAAGAAATTAAAAATACTTATTAATAAATATTGTTTATAATTATTATAATTTTGTTTTGCACGTTTACGCGAATAATATGAATTATTGCCTTAATGGTGTCATTAAATATTTCATAATATAATTGTAATTTAATTATTTTGAAAGTTAATTGGTATTTATATTTTATTAATCTTTGAACCCGCTGTTCTTTCTACATAAAACAGTTTGCAAACAGCTAGTATTTATGATATTTTACCTTCTGTTTAATGCAATATCATACTTTAACCTTATGAAATCATTTTTAGAATAATAATTTAGGTACATAAAAAAAATATATAGTGAATAGCATGCAAAATTAGTAACAACTATAACAGCTTTAAAATTCATTTAAATAAAACTAAGCAGTCTTAAGGAACACAAAATGTTGAGTAACGATTTTACTTCGGCTCAAATTAAAAGACCATTCATAATTTATTTTAAATTGTAAATACTAATTCGTTGAAATAATAATAAAAAAAAACCCCATTATTAACAGAAAATCTAAAATAGACTTTTGATAATTTATTAGTAAGCAAAAATATTAGCGTTTATAAATTATAAATACTTCCAATATATTTGTACGGTATTTTTGTCAGAAAAAAATAAAAATCTCTAGAACCTAGTAATAATGACGGGGGCTTTCTACACGAAAAAAACTATAATCAAATTTGAAACCCATTGTCCTGGCGAAAATGTTAATTGACAGAAGAGTGTGTCACTGCCAACGGCCGTACTGTTGAACACAATGCGGATGTACCTATGCAGATTCTTATAGTATATGCACATGTTGGTAGAGATGTATTGTTACAGGTCATTGGGTTTCGCATTGGGGAATGGACTGAAACAAAGAATTTGCTAAGAGGGAAAACAATCAATCTAATTTACAGAAATAATTATACATTGTTTTTTCTTTTCGTTTTGTTTTTAGCACGCCAATGATGGACTTGCTTGTACAAATCACTACTGCCCACAAACTATCGCCTGGTAATCATGCAATACATGCTATTGGTGACCGTGGAATTCTACCATATAAACCTAGCACTCCTATTGGTAAGCAATCATATTTTGTTCGAGATATTTTCAGAATTGCTGGTAAACCGACTACAGTTGTTAATATTGTGCACAAATACATTTGGTTACAAATAAATTGGTATTCGTGACAATATATGAAAATATATATACATTTATCGGTCTAGTTTGTTGGTACCTTCAACTACCTCTGTATTATGATTTGACAACTATCTGACATATACTGAATGACATGCAAATACAATTATGCTTTGATTAATTGATAATGACTGAGAAAATATAAATAAGCTTTCATAATGTTATCAATTAAAAGCTGAAATAGTTTTAAATAAGATTTTATTGACAGTACGAAAGTGTCTATATTTTTTAACTATATTGTTTCTTACTTATTGAATGCAAACTTTTTATTAAAGTGGAAAAAAACCGATTACATTTTTTTTAACTATTTTATACTAAAATCATCCACTGTAAATTATGAAAGCTATAAAATAATTTTAAAATAAACCAATTTAAAATTATTTTAATTTTACTAAATTATTTTTTAATTATTAAAAAAATGCTTAGTACTAAAATTAATTAAAATACTTTACAGTTCTATTTATTATCATAAACTATTATTTAAAAAAAGTTAAGTCCTATTTATTTAATTTCAATATGTGTGATATTTAATTAATTTTTGAATTCCTATTTTGACGTTTTAAATCTTACATTATTGTATATTTGAAATAATTTTAAAATAAAGGATTTTATAATACATAAATAATACATTATAATACTTATAATACGTAAAAATATTTTATTTTAATGTTAAACTTTGTATAAATGTTGAATACTTATTTATTAGAATATTTAAGAAATAAATTTAAGATTTAACTTTTAAATTAGTAACTTTTAAAATGTATTTTTGGCAAATCCAAATTAATTATTCACGTATTGTTTAAATGCGTTATATTATTAGACTGTTTATGATTAATAATGTAACACCATCGGAAAATTGCAATATATTTCATAAATTGCATTGTTTGACCTTTGACACATTTTAATCGGAAGTTCTCCCTCTCTTTCACAGGTGCCCTTGATACATGGACAGTGAACATCGTTCCTAAAAACTTGAATAAGAACGGCAGGTATCAAAGCCAGTCATCTATTATCAAATGCATAACGAAACCATTCGAACAAACTTTTCGCCTTCAGGTACAGAATATTTTTTTAAACATTTCATTATTTTTCTTCTGCCTAGTTAGATTAATATTTGTATTTTTCATTTTTAGGTACATTTACCGAGAAATCAACTTTACGTAACCCGAATTAGTCCAAAAACGCAACTAAACAATATTTTAAAACAAATATGTTTTGAGAAAAACCTTGATCCGAACAAGTACACCTTAAGAAAACCAGGTATGTGTTCAACATAAATGCTCATTATATTATATTTATGTATATTATTACAAAGTATTATACATCAACACAGACAATAATGTCATTTACAACATTTGTAAATGATTATATTATTCGAAATTTAAAACTGAACATTATTATGTCGCTTATCGAAAAGTACCTATATGTACTAATTGACTATCGAAATATGAATTTAAAAATGTTTATAAAAAAAAATTATTTTCATATTGAATTCATACTTTTTTATATGATACATATGTAATGGTAGATTTATTGGTTTTAATGATTTCTTAAAAATAGTTTTACTGATAAATAACTATATTCATCATTACGTAAACATACTTGTTAAATTTCAAATACCATTGGTTACGACTGCATAAAATCTTTAATTCACCAAAATATATTATTATAATGTTTATTATTATGATCAATTAACTAACCATTTTTATTTCAAAATATAAATATGAAAAAATTTGATGGACGTAATCGTTATATATTTAAACATTTTAATATTAAAATTGATTTATTAACTATAAATTGACATAAAACTATTATTTACACACTTATCATTTCTTATTCGATTTAATATTAGTTAAGAAATATTGCTGGGTTCATCGTTATAACCCTTAATTGTTTTATACTGTTACTACACAATTTGATACGCCCAAGATGTCACAAATGTTTCTGTTCATGAACTAATTTTTTTCAAAATGGACTTGAATTCCTAAATGTTTACGGCACGAATTTTCAGTCAATCCAAAAAAATCCGAATGATGCAAAATGTATTGAATACACTATGTAATTCATAAAGGTTTACTGCACATATTAAATAATCTGTGTTGCCTTATTAATATATTTATAATTTTGTCATTTTATTAATAAAATCTCAACTCAAGGAATATAATTTATATTATTTTTAGAATAAATAATTTCTCAAAAATATGTATTAAAATTAAGTTGTTGTTAAAAATAAAATAAAGTGTTACTATTCATAACGATTTTTATTGTTAAGTTTATTGAATATAATTCCACTTTATTAAAATTATCATGTTCTTGTATGGTAAATTTATTTTGTGTAATCCTCTTTTATTTTTATATCACTGATGTTTACCAGACATTGTTACTACGACTGCGCCTTATTTAAATTCCTTTCAATGCTTACAAAATTATTTTTCTATCTAATATTTGCTCCCAAATTCCTTACATTTTTTGTCAAGTACTCTGTGATATCTTATCTGCGAATTTAAACTCGCGAAAAGAATATAATACTACAGATGTAAAGTTCTAGCTTTTTAACAACGTAGTTTCATAGAAATCAACATTAAATTCACAAATTTATTTATTTTGCACAATTTTTTTGTTTTTAGACAAATTGAATGAGCCATTGAACTTAAGTAAATCATTAGTTGAATATAAACTACAGCAGTTATCTTTAGTGTTGAACACTAATCGCACTCTCATCGGTGGTTTATCTTCGGATGACATAATGTCCCGGACACCTAAAAAATTTTCGGTAACGTATACAGCATATGATTATTATTAATATTCTACAGTTATTTTTCATGGGCGTTCTAAATAACATTCATGTTCAAAATACAATTGTCTTACTATTTAATAATTAGTAGCAAATATACCTTTACTTTCGCAGAATATCATTGAATCTATTGTTACACGAATAATTTTTATTTATTTACTATGCACATTAAGCTTAACTTAATTATGTACTTACTGATTATAGTGCGATGATAGTTTGAGCAGTGGTAGCTTGGGCGGTAGAAGTTTAAGTCCTACAAGATCCGATGAATCGTCAGACACGCCACGCCGCTCATTAATGGTCAAAGTATTGCCGTCCAGACCAGTACGCAAAAGAAGACTAGCTCCAAAACCACCATCGGTAACATATCTAACATTATAGTTCACTATTTAGCTAAAATATTTCTGACAAGTAAACATTTTAGCAACAACGAAATGCTCCAGAACCGACGATAATTTCTCATTCCCGAAACAGTTCTGACAGTAGTGGATACCACGAATCGTCAGTGCTTAGTGATGCTGTTGACTGCAGGTAACATAAAAATGTAGTAATTGACGATGTCAAATTGTACCAACAAGTAAAGAAATTTTAATGGGTAAGAAATATCAAATAATTTATTTTTATATTTTGTAGTGTTGGGATAACGAGGCCGGAGAAGTTTACTTCTACCAAAACGTCTGGCCCGAGTATATCGCGTTCAATGACCAATCTCCAAGCTTGCGGACAAAAGCAAAACCAGTTCTCCGAAATACCTTTTATGTCTAACAACATAGGTCAATCAAAACATTCGGTATCTACTACGTCACTTATTTCTATTCAAAGTAAGTAAAATAACTTTTTTTTTTTTTTGAAAATCATATATAACGTATGAACATGTAAATGTGAATGTAAATATTAAATAATTTTGCATGTTTCAATTTATCTAGTTCTATGATAAAAATCAATAAACTTATATTTTTATGCTGTAAATACCTAACTAAAGAAAACTGTAAATAATTTGTACTTCTAGGTCGTAAAAAGAAATCTGCACCTCTTCCACCACTAGCAAATAAACCTAAGCTAGCACCACCACAAGAAGAACCTGAATATGAACAAGAAACACAGCGAAAATCACAAACACTGCCTGTCACTACAAAAACATTTATAACAGAAGCGAAAGAAAAATCAAAAACTGTTTCCAGAATAGAAATGAACAATAATGTAGTTGAACCTAATCTATCCCCAGCAACATCCTCATTGTCATCACTTAGTCGATCCGATGTAGATAGAGGTATGTTACCTAAGAAACCAACTGTCCTAAAATATTCCAAAATACCTTTAAGCTTTTTATCTAGTGATCCTGCTATTAAATATAAATCTACAGTAACACTAAACAATGTAAATGATGTAGACAATAACACTGTTTTTAATAGTCAGTACAAAACTGAATCTTGGAATAAATTTTTAGAACATCTAAATGATGTCTTGGCTTGTAAAAATGAAGAATATGTTTAAACCCTCTAAAACATTATACTTTATGTACATATTATTATTTTTATCATATTTTTAATCTTAGCTTGCTTGGCTTAACTATGTATATTAAAACCCAATTTAGATTTGAATGAACCCACATCTCCCACATCCTCAATTGTAGTAGGTTGTAAATACTTGTCAAAATTGGAATTGAAATCGAAAAGACCAGCACCCAAACCACCTGTGCGATCTTCAACAATAAAACGACCAGAGGCGTCCAATCAACCTACCAATTTGACCATTGTACCTCGATTGTCTTCAGGTGCTTTACTAAACTTCTTCTTTCGTTTTTCTGTGCTTTATGTGCTCTTTTAAATTATGGTGTTGGAAAATTGTAAATTTTAAACAGGAACATTAATCTCAAATGTGAAACTTAAATAGGTTCTACAGCTGACGAAGATGAACTGCGTATGGATGACGATGAAATTGATCGCATTTTCGGAGATGCAACCAGTGGTTACGATACGCCATCCATCGTTACTGTAAAAGAAAACCACACAGACGTCCCAGATATAGATTGGGAGTATAAATTACCAGATCCTCCATCGGCATTTAGAGATGATGATCATTCGCCTACGGTAACGATGTTCGATACAGTGACCATTGGTAATCTGAAAGATGTCGTACTTCAAGAAGAACCGAATGTAAATAGTTCTTCAGAAGTGAAGGAAGATTGCATTACTGTAGAAGAGTCTGTCAAGAAAATAATTGGAGACGAGTACCATTGTTTTCCACAAGATTCTGGAGTAGGTTCAGACGATTCGTCGTTGCCATCTAGTTGTGAAGAGAAGATACACTCGGAAGAGAAACCCGTAAAAATAGTTGATCCCAAAGAATCTAAATTAAATAATTTTAAAATCGTTGCTTACGACGAAGACTGTTCTAGACCCAAAGAAATATTTTGTGACGAATCTGTCAAAACATGGAAGACGACACAAATAGCCCGAGAATCAAACCCCGCTTACAAATCGTATACATCGAACTTGGTTAATAGACACAAATCATTCAGTACGGATAGAACTAACTTTTCTATCACGGTCAAGCGGAGTACGTCTCATATAAGTCTTTTAAGTGGTAATATCAAACCATCAAATCGATTGGCTAAGCATTATATTGGACGAACTTACTCTACCGAACGACTGAATTATGATGAAGATTCTATAGTAAAAAGATCGTTTAGCGTGGACAACATAACAGAAGGTTAGTCAAAAACCATAATTTATATATATATATATTCATTCGTGATTAATATGTATGACTAATTTTATTGTAGATGCACAAGAAAGTAGTCAAGACTGCGAGCAAGAGATAATACCAAAAAAAATTGAACCCACACTAGAACAATCTTCTCCCTTACATTCCCTTCAGGTATTTTTATTTATACATATACGTATAAAATTAATTACATGGTTTAATACATAAAATAGTAATTTGTCTTTATTTATCTAATGTAGTTATAGTTCGTAAATCCTTCTCGTTTGTAATGAATAGGTAAAATGATTGAATACATTTATTACGATATGATTATAATATATATGATCAGATAAACTGTTTATCAAATAAAGTAGTTTTAAAATTTTACAAAACTAGAAGAAACCGATGGTTTTCAATGATTATAATGGAAAAATTATTTTATTTATCTAAATGTTTTTGCCTTGTTCGGAGAATATAATTACGTTTTCTCATATAAAACCTTATATTAATGAAAATTAAATGTTTACTAATTTCACAGATTTTAAAAACGATTCTCCCTCAAATCGAAGATCACAAAACCAAAGAAAACTGCGAGAATAAAAATTCAAGGTAAACAAAAAATCCACAGTGTAATCAATTGCATTGCCCGTGTAATGTTAACCATGCCTAAAAATTGTTTTACAGTTTCGACGACGTTTCCGGAGCACCTAGTACATTGGAAACGGAATCAGCGAAAACCTGCGACGGAAATCAGCTCGGAGAAAATGCATTCCAAACGTATGCGTCGGAACCGATCTTAGATGCAATCGAGCACAAAAACTTAAGCTCGCAGACGCCGTTAACTGTCACATATCGACAGGATGATCACAAAACGACAGCTGCCACGGAATTGCCCGTAAGATCCGCCGAGTCCGAGAACAGTCATCACGAAGCACCTTCCAAGTCGAACCCGCAACACGAACCGCTCGCCGGTGATAGACCGGACGGCAGCCGAGCGCTGCCCAGCGCAAACGATAAGTCCAAGAGGTACCTGTACACGGGCCCGCCGAAAATCAGTCTGTCCACGTGGAACGAACGTCCCAAACGGCAGGTGAGCATCAAAACCGACCGAGACTACGTGATTGGCATCAGGCAAAGGTTCCAGCAGAAGGCGGAGGACGCGGAGACGAAGCCGGACGACGGGCCCGTGTCCCGGGTTCCGATCGTCAAGTCGGTCGAACTGAAAAAACCATACGCCGAACAGCTGCAAGCGACCAGCCCTGTGCTGGCTCTGTCCGAAGCGATCAAAGCCCAAGCCAAGCTCAGCAACGGTTACGGTTACCGTAGCGGTACGATCGCGTTGACGGGCGGCAGCGACGAGAATGCGAAACCGCCTGCGAAGAAGGATTACGGCAGCAGGCCGTACGCTTTCAGCAAGTTAATGAACCGGCCTAGGAAACCCAGGGAGTTCTCGGCGAACGTGGACCCCAGGGAAACCCTGCTCGAATCGATCAGGTCGTTCGGCGGGAGGGACAACTTGAGGAAAATCAGAGCCTAACACCGCCTCCACCAGTTCACCATCATTCTAAAAACGCACTATTATTGTTCAACCTAATCGTTGTCGGCCACTCGTGTTGAAAACGTACCCGCTGTAAACGAGTCCCGTGAAAGTTGTTTCTTTTTGTTTCGCATCGAAGACGGGTTGGAAGTACATATGTGACGTTCGCACAATAAATGTTTTGCTGCTGTGTGCACTGCGATCGGTACGGTTATCGTTTAAACTATTGGCGAACACGGTCCGAATTGCGGCAGGTTACCTCCAGGCACACGACTTGCGGAGACCTCTCGACGATCGAAGTCGGCTATAAAATCGTGCGTTTGATCTTAACACTTGTTGTTTTTTTTTTTTTTTTTTTTTCGAAAAACAAAAATTGTTTTCAAATATCGAAATCATTGTACCAAGTGTAGGTATACTCGGTGTTACGAATACGCTGCGTCTGCTTTTGGCTCTAATCGTCAGTGACGGAGTAAAGTCGCTGCAGACAATCGCCAAGTTTAAATCGAATAACCACGCTAGGAAATTCTTGTGCTCAAATCCACTCTTGTAGTTATCGCGATCAGTGTACCGTTTTCCGTGTTTCTGTTGCAATCGAAACACCGAACAAACACCTGCTGATGCTCATAATGTTGTAGTACCTACCTTATTATATATAGACGTCCTAATTTTTTTTATTTTTTTTTTTTTTGATCTTGTGTATTTTTAACATATACACGTTTATAGAGACTCGAATTACTATATTAAAGTTGCAATCGGAACCAAGCAATAATTGTGACGATTTTTATTTTTTTTATTTTATATTTTACACGTTTGCTCAATATTTCTAAAGTTTCAAAAATACTTATTTTGGATTTGTTTTCGTTTACCAAAATAATAGATGATACGTACGTTAGAAATACAAAATATTCGTTTTAATAGGGAATCATTTATTAGTTAAATTATTATCGTTACAACCTATGTTTGAACCCAATGAAAATATTAATCATTATTATTTATATTGTATGTAGAGTCAGTTAATGTTTTTTTTTTCGTATTTATATAACAAAATAAACTATAATACATTATTTATGATACTAATAAATTCAATTATTGGAATTTAACTTAAGGGTAATTATTAATACAGTAAAACACCCAAAGTTTATAGACTAAATATTATTATGTAAATTTTTATTTTATGTTTGATTGTTTGTGTTATGTAAATAAAATAATGTACACTGTTGTTTGATGTAATTGTTAGAAAACTAAAGATCATTCCTCATGTGTTATTGTCCTAACAAGTATGTAAATAGTTGGTTTTGGCAAATTACTCGTATTTATTTTAAACTGTAAAGCTTGTATAAACGTAATCTGCAATATGAAATTAGAGATTAATTATAACAATTATAATTCACTTGCAAAGTAAAACTTTACCAACTAACATAATCTTATGAAATTTATAGTAGGTAATAATAGTGATTAAGATCAGTGATATACTTGAAGCTGAATCCAATAATGTTAAGGTTGTGCAAGATATTATTTTTTAAAATCATTAAACAATATCATAAGGTAGTAAGTGAAATATTACCTATAGATACAATAAATTATATTAAAATGTGTCATTAAGATTTAACAATTGAAAACATCTTAAAACAAAGCTCTATTTCAATAGAAGGTTTTTTACAGTAGTATGTCTATTGACATGATCTACTCAATGTTTACATATTAAAGTAGTAATATATGACAAATTGGAACTTATATATAGATAACATGTTTATTTGTAAATGAGTGTGCAAATAATAATACTAATGATCAGTTGTTTTATCAGGAAAAATAACCATGTAAGTATAATACAGTGAAAACTTTCTATAATGAATTTGAAGGACCAAAGGGACCAAGAGATTTATTTTGCTATAGAGTTTTTGTAATAAAGAGGGTTTAAAAAAAAAAAAATTGTAATTATTTATGTATAAATGGTTAGGTATCTATGTATTGTTATTTAACATTATTTCTACATTAAATAAGTAATAAATTACATCACCAATTTATTATTTTATTAAATTATAATATGTATTATATTTTATACAATTTTTTAAAATAGTCTGTCATCTTTGTTTGAACTTGTTTACTTTGCCAATATTTTTTTTTTTGTATTTTCTATGAATTTGTCCCATATTGTCGTATAACTTTGGATCATCCTCATGACACAATAAGTGTTTTCCTAAAAATTCAACCACATCAAGTGCTCGTTGAATACTTGGTATTATGACTTATAATATATAATACAATAATACATTATATATATATAATAACATGTAAATTGTATTATGAAACATAAATTATTGTTTCGTTTTTAAGAGTGACTAATACGCCAAAGAGAATTAATTTACTGATGCATTATACGGCAAACATTATTATGTAATATTTACATTATACAGAGTTTTTTGGTACAAAGAGTTTAGATATAATGAGTTTTTACTGTACATTTTTCATTTAAAGTATCACAAAGCACAATTATATTTAACTGGTACTTGAGATATTATAATTTTAGGTTAAAAAATCCAAAATATCTATATAATTTCCTTTAGTTATATCAGAAAAAGATAATTTTTTTCATCAATATTTAATAGCTTATTGATTAATTGTATTAGTATATAACAGATGGACAACTCAAAGTAACAATAGGACCAATTTTTGGAACTTTAAAATCTGGTGGGACATAGAAAAATGAATGAAAAAGGATTATTGAAATCACCATTAGCATTTACTTTAAACAATTTAATTTTACAACATTCAGTACTATGAAATAAGTGCCTATCACCTATAGCTATGTTAGCTATACTAATATAGATATACATTATATTATTATGACTTAGCTGGAATTCAATGCTAGAGAAAAATATAAAATATAAATTTTACAATCAACATAATCAAGTTAAATACTAATTATCACACTAAAATGTTATGAAATAATTTGAAAATATGGTACGAGCTAGAAAAAAAATTATGCGGGCACCGCCAGTTGTCCATCCCTGGTATATAATAAAATTGCATAATACATTAAAAATTATAGACAAATCATATATATATATATATATATAATAGATACTTGATCTAATATTGTTTTTGTTGTATTCATCTTTATGATTTTACAAGTTTTGTAGTATAATACTTAATAAAAAAATAATTATTAACAAATTTTATCTGTCCTTGTACTTTAGATATATTTTCAATAATATCAAATAAATCTAATTTTAGAAATCAAATTCATAGAATGCAAAATTTCATACATTTTTAATCATGTTTTAATTATGCATTGAAAAAAAAATCATAAAAGTCAACACAATCATAGGTGAATTTAGAATATCCTTAAGTTTATTTGAAATTCAAAGAACCATTTTTATAATACAATTAGGAATTTTTTTAACCTATAAACCACTTAATAGTGTAAGTAATAAATAAATCAAAACTAATATAAAATATACATAAAAATATTTTGAACTGAATTAAATTTGGTATTAAATAACTTTAATAAAAACAATTAAATTTTTTTTTATTCATTTTAAATATTACTATATTTTATGTTAACCTGCAATTTTTGATTTATTTTGAAAACTCTATGCCAAATTATATTAGACTACATCAATCAAATAAATAACCTAACTATATTCCATTTATTTTACATTTCTCCTTTAAGAGTAGCATTTAATTCTCCACCTTCCTTTAATTCTTTAATTATGTCTAAACCACCAATCAATGATCCTTTAACATAAACTTGTGGATATGTTGGCCAATCAGAATAAACTTTTAAGCCCTGCCGCACTTCTTCATCAGATAAAATGTCAAATGTTTCATAATCGATGCTGTTAAATTTAAATCCAAATTTAATAAAAGTAATAACATATAATATAAATTACGTCAACACTTACCCAGTTTGATTTAAGATTTGAATCAACTGATTACTAAATCCGCAACGAGCAACTTGTTTATCACCTTTCATAAATACCATTACATTGGCTTTATTGGTCAGTGATTTAAGCCTAAAAATGAAACATGTTAGAACTAATTAACAGAGAATATATATATATTATAATAATAGGACTAGGTTTTATGTTACTTTATTATTTTAACTGAATATGTTTAATAAATTGTAACCTAAAAACTAAAATTTCAAGAAAATATATACTTTATTAGTCAGAAAATGTGTAAAATTCAATAATTATTCACCTCTCATCAAGGTTAGTTTTGTTCTTTTCCAGTTTTAATAGATCATTTAGCTCACCAGACTCTTTCAATTCTTTTACAATATCTAATCCTCCAATTAATTCTCCATTGATATAAAGCTACACAAATATAAATTTTTTGTAGATAAGCGTTTTATAATTTAAACAATTTTATTATAATTTACTTGGGGATAAGTTGGCCAATTAGAGTATATTTTCAATTTTTCTCGAACAACTTGATCTTGTAGTATATCAAATGTACTAAATTCAGCACCAATTTCTTTAAGCAAATTTATAATTGCAGTACTAAATTTACACTTGGGTTCAGACTTTGATCCTTTCATAAAAAGCATAACAGGAGCAGAATTTATCAATGACTTGAGTCTCAAATTGATGTCTTCTACTTTTTGTTCTTTTTGGCTACCTTTGGTAAGCTAAACATGTAAATAAACATAGAACAAAAACATGTTGTATTTAAAATCAATTCAAAAGTACCAATGCTTGGATTTTTTTGTTTAGCTGTATTGGATCAACGCCGTCTAATACATCTACTTGAACACCATTACGAAATAGTATAAACTTAGGTACAGCAGACACATTGTATTTTAATGATAATTCGGCAAAATCTTCAGCTAAACACTTGGCAACTTTTATGTTCTATACAACAACAAAAAACCTCTTTCATTTACTTATTCAGAAGAATATAAATCATCATTTTTTACCTGGAAATCACTATCCGAAGCCAAATCGCTAAGAATGTTATTCATGTATTGGCACGGTTCAGACCAATCAGCGTAAAAATGTACGACGGACAGCCCATTTGAACTACAAATAATGAAAAGTTTAACACACATGTAAATTATTATTCATTAACGTAAAACAAACGGTTCTGTTTAATGTACACACATCAAAGAGTTAAATTCAGTTTCTGAAGTAATAGCAGTCACCATTTTGTAATTGCTAAGGGATTAATGAGTATTGACAGAAATCGTGAGTAACGTAGTTAGTTACAAGACCTAAGAACCAGACACTGGGATAGCTGATGAGTGCCGAGAAAATGTATTTTTCGACCAAATTTTGTCCGATAAATAATTGCGTTCTGTTTTGTATGCCTTCCGATCACGAGATCAAATACAACACAGACATTCTAGAACTAATGAATAAGTGACGACGGCGCGTATTGTCAACTAGTCGGCGCTCCGGCAGTGCAAACTATTATTATCAACCAGTAACCACTCGTAACAATGAATTCGTTATCCTAATATTGTTCAGTGATATCACAGAGAGCAGAGAAAAAGCAATGAGGTTCCAATCGTGCAATCGTATTCCGTACGGCAAGACAGTCTGCCGTAGCGTATAATTATATGGGATTTTTTTTTTCGCTGTCGCATAAGTTGTTTTATTTGAAATGTGAGGAGTGATTTTTGGAAGTGAATCTTTTGAGTTCATTTCAATCAAAATGTTAATATCGACCAAAAAAAAAAAAAAAATAGATTGGCGGTTTGCCATTTAATCATATTTGCATCTTTCAAATAACAATACATTTTTATATTCTAACATGCGCTATAGCCAAGGGCGCCCATATGGGGGGGGCAAGGAAGGGACATGTCCCCCCCCTAGAAAATGTCAAAAATCTTGGAAAATTGTTTACTATGATAAGAATATATTTATTTCAATAGAATTTAAAAATTTAATTTAATATATGAAAATCTATAGTCAATGATGTAGTGCTAAAAATATAAAAGGGTATACGCCAAATTCTGTCAAAAATAAAATCTCCACAGTAAAAGTATGATGTAGGGGGCTTTGCTCCCCACACCCAAGCCCGGTCATAGGCAGTGGTTAAAGTGGGAAAAATGTTGTGGGGGACTGTATTGATCAAAAATTGAGGAGCGTTCCCCTACCTAATTCTAAATCTTACCAATCTTTTTTAGGAAACCCATGAGGTCTAAGCCTCTTCTGTTACACATATATGTTCATAAAAACTTTATTTTCATTGGGTGTAGATATTAATTTCCCCCAAAGAAATATAATTTTATACATATGCCTGCTCAGTAAAAATAAATTGAAATACGTAGTAGGTAATGTTTAAAAAACTTAAATTAAACTTAACAAAACTAAAAAGAAACAATTACTAACCTAGCTGTTTGTTGGTCAATGTAGACAATAACCAATACGTACATTGCACATAAGGTTACATATAAGGTTACACATAAGGCAACTATGGGTGATGAAAGATTGTCATCACTTGCAATCTTATCTATTGAAAATTATATTGTTGAAAATCTCGATTGGACAACATTAGTAAATGAATTTGCAAAGATTAAAGCATTGAAAATTTCCACTAAATATATGAAGATTATTTGAATATAAACATACCTACGTATTAAATATATTATATTATTGATAATGAATTAAGATAATAATAAGTAATATAATACATTAATTTAAATCTAAGAATACTAATTTCTTGTATGAATAAAAATAAGAATCATATACTTTCATACTACAAACAAATTTTTTTCTTAATTCATAAAATTATTGATTTTTAATAAATATTTTTCCTGATTTTGGGGGGTTTAACCCTCTCCTCCCGTGGATCTGCCCCTGATAATGTGTATATATGTTCAAAGGGTTTATCCAAATAAATAAATAACAATAAATGTGGGTATACTTTATATTTGAGCACCTTTTTCCGAGCCCCTAGCTAAAAGATTAATAATACATAATACCTAATATATAATATTATTATGAACATACAATTTTTTACTAAGATATCAATTCCAATTCAAATTAAAGTATTAATTATCAAAAAAATAAATTATTAGTAAAAATATCTAATTCCTTTTTTTGTATAGAAACGAATTTATCTAGATAGATGAATTTTTATCTTGGATAATTTTTTAGATAAAATGAAATTATTTATCTAGATAAGATAAAAGTTCATTAAATAATTATCTAGATAAGTCTCAACACTGATTGTTGGTCGTCCAAAATATTTATTACTTTTAATATAGAAGCTGAATCGTCATTCAACTTTACAAAAACATTTCGAATGCTTTGTATATGTTTACAATAATAATCTGTTATATCTAATCACGTCCCCCAACGAGTAATTATAGGTTCAGGTGGTAGTATTACTTCAGTATCTACGTATCTAATCGTTCTAATAGACATAACAAATACTAACCATTAGGATAAAAATTTATCTCTGTCGTCTTTATAAGTTAATAACAAATTTTTGACCTTGATTCATAAAAAATATTCATAAAACGTTTGATTTTCAATAAACCATAAAATTATGCACTAAAACATTAAAATATGCTCTTATAATCAAAAATAACTCCTTAAACCAAAAAATGTCAAAATAGGCAGAAATATGCAATAAAAATGTTGAGTATTTCATCATAAATATTATGAAATGTATTTTATACTTACCAAGCATACGATAAAGTTAACCAAAAATATATGCAAATTTCTGAAAGTCCTTGCCCCTAGCTAAAAACAATAACGCGTTGCTATGACGTTTTAAAATTAAATTTTTCAACCTAACAATAGTTCGTATGAAATATTTGTCATATCAACAATAGAGTTGTAAGTAAACACATACAAATTCCTTCTAATCTTTTTTGAAGCCATCATAAGTTTCATTAATACTTTAAAGTTTCAAATTTAAACGATTTTAATTTGTCAGTTAACTATTTTCTCAATATCGCTGATCAAAGGTCGGTTTGGCAGATATTTCTACCCGGTAAGAACTTTTACCCTTTTCCAACAATTTCAAGCCTACACTTTGAAATATTAAAAAAAAATTATTTTTAAGAAAACTGTTATTTTAGGGTCAAATGAAGATAAACAATTTATTTTGTAATTTTTGAAAAATTTACTTTTTATTTATTATTATTTTTATTATTATTATAATTTATATAATAATTATATATATAATTATTAATATGATTTATTATTTATTTTTATTTATTATTTTAATTTTTATAAACTTTATTTTTAAATTAACTATTGACAATTGCCAGATACAAATTTTTTTCTTTAACTATTTTCATTCTAGTATACTAGTAAGCGTATTTTCCTATATATAAGGAAATGCCTACTATACTTATGGACCTTATCTTAACAAAACATGTAGGTATATTTAATAAGTAGTTAAATAAACATAAATCAAATTTTTTATTTAATATTGTGGTAATTAGTTTCATAAATATGATTTCTTGGAATCTTGTATATTTTTCACAGACAGTTGTTATTATTTATGGTTAGTACTTTAGTAGTCAATTTTAGCTGTTATATTATTATATATAATAATTTTTTGCACGAAAATTTAGTTCTAGTTTTTCTATTACAAAACATAACTTATTTTTTGCCGAATATTTTAGAATAAATTCCATTTAATTTAAGCAACATCAGTTAAAATATGAAACCATTACTCTTAGACTTAAATGTTAGGAATTTTTTTTAACATCACCTGTGGATACCCAAAGTACTGTGGGTTTTTCTTTTTCTTCTTAAAAACCTCCAATAAGCACGCCACTCGAATATGTCGATGAGGTAATGCTTCGGGTGGCAGGTCGCCATAATTTGTTTTTTCAATGTCACAAATTTTTGTGAGGCAAGTACGAGACAGCATTCGCGGTTATCCGAGAGTTATAGAAAAAAATATATTGTCTTTCCTAACCTCATTTGTAGAGCTGAGAATGTTTCTTGTCTAGCGTGACATCTTGACTAACCCCCCACGAGGACCCACCTTGACGTGGTGGGGGGCTTGCATCCCTCAACAGTTCCAAGAGCTATGCCAACGGTAGTTTACTACCAACAGGGTCTCCTATGTTGGACAGATCGACGAACTGAGGGCTGACAAAGCGGTTCTCATTAAAGGGTAGGGCGGGCTTTTCAGCCTCGGGTGGCAGCCGTCCTAGAGAAAGGAAACCTTGTTCGAAAACCCCTTGGCAGTAGGGCTAAAATGTAGTGAAGGAAATCACTTGAAAAACCACAATATGAGTTATTATCAATCAAGTATTATTACCACCTTAGGAGCTTCGGAACTCTGTAGGTCGGCAGGAGTGGGTGGTTCCGGTGTCAAAACCGGTTCCAACCATGGGTGTCCCCAGGGGGGGCAAGACGGGGCACTTGCCCCCCCCTGGAATAATGTTATTTCCACAGAAATATTTTTTAATGTTTTAATTGTAATAATAATACCTACCTAATTGTAATGTTTTAATTCATAATTTTAATAATGACGAAATATAATAATTTACTATAAATAAAATGTATAAAAAAATTTTCATTTATTTTTAAATTAATTTTGCCCCCCCCCCCCCCTAGAAAAATGTCTGGGGACGCCCATGGTTCCAACGTAGCGGGCCCACTTCGGTCATCATCAAGCGACCGCGAGGGTACGGGGGTGGCCGACCAGGCCCCGTTACTCTATCCATTACTGGGGCGAAGACGAAAAATTGCGGACCACGTTGACGGCAGCGAGTCACTTGGTCACCAGACGTGATCTTCGCGTCGACCACCGTCCGAAAACCGCATACCACCACCCGGGACGGCTATTCTCAAACGGAGAGTCAGTGCTCTGGGAACCAAGATACTGGTGCTTCGAGGACCAAGATACTGGGGAGAAAAAAGTACGTGGGACGTCCGCGTTCAGACGGATGGGCTGCCGGCGACCGCAGAAGCGTTCACCGAGATAGAATATCTGACGTCGTCCCAGAAAGTTGGTACATTAAAGCACTGGCTGAGAACCGTAAGGGACCATATGATGCGTACCAATGTCAAAGATGGGCCAGAGGAGGACGCGGTCGTGACGGCCGGAGGAACTATGATGGAAAAGATTGCTTCCACCTTCAGTTTCCCCAGTACGTTGCCGTCGGGCCCCTCCGATGCGTTGAAGTCGTCTAAACCACCAATCACCACTCAAGGACAATGGAATTCGTGCCCC